TATTTCCACCTTCGGTAGTTTTTATAGAATCAAATTGAATTGATTCATCGATATTTCCACCTTCGGTAGTTTTTATAGAATCAAATTGAATTGATTCATCGATATTTCCACCTTCGGTAGTTTTTATAAAATCATATTGAGTTGATTCATTGATATTTTCATCCTCGGTAGAATTGCATTGGATGATCGATTCATTTTTAATAAAATCAAGTTGAGTTGATTTGTTATTATGAATGTCATTGATATGTTCACCCTCAATATAATTATGTTAAGTAATCGGTTCATTTTCGATAGGATTAGATTGAGTTGATTTTTTATTATGAATGTTATCGATCGATGATTCATTTTTAAGGAGATTGGTAATAGAGGCAACGATATGTTCATATTTTTTTAATTTTTCTTTTAATTCATCATATGATTTTTTCAATCTACGATGAGTTATTCTTAAAGTTCTAAGATCGGTTATAACATCGTTATATTTCCTATGAGAAATTACTCTGTTATGTCCCTTCTCAAATGTAATTTTCTTTGACATGTGCGTATGTTAATGTGTGTTGATATGTGTTATGATAGATCGTATATATATATGTTTGACGTTTCATCAGATAAGGTTTGTGGATTATAATATAAGAAAGTGAACCAATTGGAATATCATTGAATTATGTGGATCAATCGGGATGAACCAATCGGAATATCCCTCGAGGGGTCGTATGATCAATCGGGAACTTTCAGATATGTTATAAACTGGTTTTTCTTGAACCAATAGGAAATCAGAATATTTACGGTCAGGTTATGATTTCACGATCCGATAACATATTTGTTATAAAAGACGTGCTGATTTTTCAATGGCTTAAGTGGTGGAAAATTGAAAAATTTAATCGAGAGTCATAAGAACTTGCCAATTTTGTATAAGAAAATTGATTATATCTGATTTGTGAAAAGGAAATTCCGCATTTGCATTGAATTTGACAAACGCGAATCGAAAGTATTGCGATTATTTATTCAAGAGATATTCCGTTACGATATTTGTAAGGATTGAGGTATTTAGTGGGATGAATAGAATATCGCATCACCAGTTTGATTACACGAGGAGAAAAGCGAATTATCATCTATGTGATGAGCATACTGTAAAGGAGAATCGGGTCTCCGCGGATCGAATCAACTTTAGTAAAAGTATTGTTCAACATCGTGTGCCTGATGGTAATAGGTATAAATATATTAGGGTGTCATATGATGATTTTTTTAAGTGTGATTGTGTGGGTAAACATCTTGGGTGTCGTCTTTACAAATGAAGGTGTTATACCAAATTGGTTCAGGGGAAATTGGTGAATATGAATCGTAAAAATTCGAAGATGATTTACAAGAGATATCTACAATTGTATAAACCAGATTATGTTGTCTATTTCTGGATTAAATATTAATATATTTTTTCAAAAAAAGAATAAATAAATAATTGAGATCTTGAATCTCAGATGATCGAATTTGTGTTTAGTATCATTAGGTGTGATTGGTATTACCAAGGATATGATTAATATTTTCAGATTTGGAATTACCAAACATGACTAGCGCTTTTAGGATTAAAATTACCAAACATGACTAGTGCTTCTAGAATTAAAATTACCAAACATAACTAGCGTTTCTGAGATTAAAATTACCAAACAAGGTTAATATTTTAAAGGTTATCGATCATTTGAATTGAATTTGTTTTGAAAATTAAGTATGAATTACGAGCTTAGATAAAGTGATGAGAGTAATTTTATGATGTGATTAAGTTGTAAAATTTATATAAAAGGACGTGCGATTTGAGTTTTTGATGTCAACCCGAGCACACTCAAGATGTCAACTAATGAATCCATACGAGCGGTGATCGAAAGAGCTAAAGATATTCTTTCACTTCGAACTGAAGAAGAAATATTCCTGATTGGAAGAATAGTGGATCGTCTCATCGAATCACCTTTACCCAAGTTAGAAGATATTGATATCTTTTTGAAGGAATATGATTCTATTCGAAGAGAATTTGATCACTTTGAGGATTGGGATTACCACACTGAATTTGATCGTGAGGAGCAACTCCCAACTACATCTAACCTCGAGAGACTTCCAGTGATACAAGAATCTCCATTTGAATCGGAAACTTACGATCATCGTTATGATTTAGGTGATTGGTATAATGTGTGTGAGATGCGAATTGATGAACATGATTTTGAGAAAGTTGATGTCGAGAAAAGTCATGTTCATACGTTTTGTTCAGAATGTGATCAGAACGTGGAGGTATATACGAATGAATGCATTTGTGATTTAGTGCCGGTGATTAATTATTTTAGTTCGAGAGAAGATCGTGAAAAGTTTTTTGCAGTGAATAATATTCAAGGTTTGTGTGTATTTTGTGATAATGGTTGTTCAGATGAATTGTGTATATGCGAGTTTACATGTGGATTGAAATATGTAATGGGATTTGATGAATGTGGAGGGGTTCTATATGGGATGTGTGGTTGGCATTCTAAGGATCTAAAAGATATTGATCATTATTGTCGGGGGGAGATTCATCGTGGATTTGATCATATTGATAATTTCAGATAATTTCAGATGATATTAATTTGTAATGATTTTTTTTTTTTTTTAATAAATGATACCTCATCCAGTGCCTTGTGCACCAGGATGAGGTTTGAATGACGTAACTATGATGAGGGGTGAGAAACGAAAGGTTACTTCCGATCCAAATTTTAATTCTGATTCCGAATCAGAAGTAAAGAAACTTAAGGTTACTTCTGATCCAAATTTTAATTCTGATTCCGAATCAGAAGTAAAGAAACTTAAGGTTACTTCCGATTCAAATTCTGATTCTGAATCAGAAGTGAAGGAACTCGAGATTGGTAAAATACAAGATGACGAAGAGGAATCCAAGCCATCTGGATCAAAACAACCCCATTCTGAATTACCCAGAAAACGGAGGGATATTAAGAATCCGAACAAACTTGATGAAAAAATAATTAATAGAATACTATTAACAGGTGATGATAGTATTGAAGAAATTTTGAAGTGTCAAAAGTTTTACGAGCTCGCTAATTTGGTTGATACTATTGCGTATGAAATTATTAAGACTGAAAATGAGGATTGGATGGAAAAAATGAATGTTCTTCAATTGTTTAGTGCAGTTAAACGTGAAATTTATCAGATGATTGAAAAAAAGATTCAAAGTGAGAAAACTGATGAGGTTTGTGTGTGGTTGGTGAAGGTTTATCAAGGACCGGCGAAAGGAATAGTGTACGAAAATTTTAAGATTCAAAAATGGTTATCCGAGAATTCTGATGGAAATACCAATTAAATGTCACATAATATTTTAAATTTATTTTGATATAAATAAAACAAACCTCATCCAGTGCCATGTGCACCAGGGTGAGGTGTTTCTTGCGTAACTTGAAAAATGTCAGAAAGGAAATGTTATGCTTTGTATCTCTTTTTTACCTCAGGTAGAGATGTAATTCTCAGAAGTTATGAAGAATATTATCAATATGATTTTGATTTACCACTCATTAGAATGTGGGATACCGTTTATGGATACCCATACATTTATGAGGATGATAAGGATGCGGTGGTCAGATTGACGAAAGATCAATTTGATATAGAACTCAATTTACAAGAAATTGAACATTTATTTGACGATGTTATGAATAACAAATTTTATATTTGCAATACTCGAAAATTTAATGCCGATGGAATAAGATATCAGAGGATCACATCCCAGAATCACTTGGAGTTTGAAGATAACGTTGATTTTTACGTACATTCCGCATTAGGGGGAGAAATATTTAAAAGATTAAATAAAAGAGAGATGGAGAAACATAATCGTAAATTAAGACGGATGGGAATTGATCGTAGTCTTATTCTTGATGATAAGAATAGAGTTAGTAGATGTAGACATCGGAAGAGATAAATCTTACGTTAATAAAATTGACCTCGTCTAGTGCTTCAAGCACCAGGACGAGGTATTATTTGCGTAAATTTGTTAAAAATGTCAATATCAACATATGAAAAGGGTGAGTGTGCACTGATGATGCTATTTTGATAAGGTACACCCGTCGGGTCCCTTCCACCGCTCGCGTGACCGTCGGGATGGGCGGTTAAAATTGTCTCTGATAATGGCGAGGTGTTAACATTCACGATCTCTCATTTTTAGGAAAGGAATTTGAGAATAAAATATATTCGATCTTGAATAAGGATTCGAGATTTAAGGTTAATCTCACAAGAAGTGTTCAGGGTGATGGAGGGGTTGATTTAATTTTGTTCTATCAAGATATGGTTGTTTTTATTCAATGTAAGAATCTTGCATCGAAGGTTGGTGTGAATCACGTAAAGGAATTTATCACAACACTTGAAACAAACAAAAATGATAAAAAATTAGGTTTATTAATATCAACCAATGGCTTTACGAAGCCCTGCTATGATTATGAATTGGAAAATCATGATCTAATTCTTTTAGCCGAAAATGATAATATATCGAGATGTATTATATCTCATTATCAGAGATATAACTTATATGATAAAAAGAAGGATCCGAGGTCAAATATGAATATTGTGAAATTGGATGTGAATATGGAGGTTGGATATGTGATTGTTATAATCATCGTAATTTTCATGTTAATTAATTTTAGCAAAATTGATTAGGATTTTATTATAAATAAAGTAACTTTTCTTAAAAAAAAAAAATGAGTTCGTATCATTCGTTAAATATTAAATTATCGAACATTTATATTCAAGGAAAGAGATATGATAAATTCGAGATTTAAGAGATTGCATTATTTGTTTTCAGATTAAAGATTGAAGAATATATTGAATATATGAAGTGTTTGGAACCTTTGCGAGATTATAGATGTTTGAATTACCTGATCGGAAGATTTGATGGTATGGTTCACGATGGTATCGAGATTGACGTTGGATTATTAATTGGTGAATGGAGTGTGATGGTCGAATCAATTGATAAATTTATTAAATATTTAAGAAATGGGAAGGTGTATTATGAATTGCGCGAATGTTATTGTCCCGAAAATGAATATATTTAAGATCACGTGTATGAGGAGATAATTATTTTAAAATATATCCTGATAACATCTCTAAAATTTCATTGCATAAATATGTTTAGTGCGTTGGAACTATTGAATATAGTTAATGATTTCAAATTTCAAATTATCAGAAATGGTTAATGTAAAATTATCCAGCATGATTAATGTAGTATGATTTAAAATTACCCAACATAGTTAATACGATATGGTTTGGAATTACCCAACATAGTTAATGTGGTGTGGTTTACAATTACCCAACATAGTTAATATGGTATGATTTAAGATTACCCATCATGGTTAAATTAATTTCGGATGGAGAAAATGATTTTTTTTCAGGAGGTGAACTATGCTCATTGGTATTTTATGTAATGTTAATCACACGTTAGCATTCGTGTAGCGAAATGGGAATTCGAAATTCTATAAAAGGGCGTGCGGTTTAAATTCCTGATGAATTAATTCTCAGGATACAAATTTAAGGTATGAGATAAATGATATTTGATTTCTGAATATAAAATCAAATTTTAATGAATTATAATTTTAGGATGAGCGATTTTAACGAGTTAAATGATTATTCATCAAAGATGATGAATAATCTCCAGAAGATCGAAGATGATATAAAGGTACTTCGTTCTAGTAGGGAGAGATCAAATGCTATGTTATGTGCATATCTTCTCATTGCCAATTCGAATTATAGTGGTATAGAACAAGTTGAATGTGAAAT